TTTCCCTTTCTGAGGATTTGTCACTGATATGCACAAATGCGTTTGATTTGTGGGTGTTGATTTTATATCCTGCTACTTTGCTGAATTCATTTACTAGTTCTCAAAGTTTTCTGGTGGAACTTTTAGAGTCTTCTAGGTATAGAGTCATATCGTCAGCAAATAGTGCCACGTTGAGCTCTTCTTTTCCTATGTGTATCCCTTTAATTTATTTCGTCTGTCTAAATGCTCTGGCCAGTGTTTCAAGAACTATGTTAAGTAGAGGAGGTGAAAGAGGGCATCCCTGCCTTGTTCCAGTTTTTAGAATTTCAGTTCAACTTCAATTTCTCTCCATTTAGAATGATGTTGGCTGGGGCTTAGCATAGATAGCCTTTACGATGTTGAGGTATGTTCCTATTATTGAACATAAGGGGTGCTGTATTTTGTCAAATGCTTTTATTGATATGATCATATGATCTTATCTTTAAGTCTTTTGATGTGAGGAATTACATTTATTGATTTCCGTTTATTGAACCAATCTTCCAATCAGAGGAGAAACCAATCCTCCCTGGGATGAATCCCACTTGATCTTTGATCTTTTTGATATGTTTTTGTATTCAATTTGCCAGAATTTTATTGAGAATTTTTACATCGATGTTCATTAGAGATATTGGTCTGAAATTTCTTTTTTTGATGTGTCTTTGCCTGGTTTTGGAATCAGAGTGATACTGGCCTCATAGAATGAGTTTGGAAATGCTGCCTCTTTTTCTATTTCCTGAAATAAATTGAAGAATATTGGTGTTAGTTCTTCTTTAAAGGTCTGTAGAACTCAGCTCTGTACCCGCCTGGTCCTGGGCTCTTCTTGGTTGGTAGGCTTCTGATGGCGTCTTCTATTTCATGCTTGAAATTGATCTGTGTAAATTGTGTGTATCATCTTGATTCAATCTGGGCAAATTATATGACTCTAGATATTTGTCAATGTCTCCGGTATTTTCTATTTTATTGGAGTACAAGTTTTCAAAATAATTTCTAGTTATCTTCTGTATTTCTGTAGTGTCTGTTGTGTTATTTCCTTTTTCATCAAATATGTTAGTGATTTGGGTTTTCTCTCTCCTTCTCTTCGTCAGCATGACTAAGGGTCTGTCAATTTTATTTATTTTTTCAAAGAACCTACTTTTTGTTCTGTCAGTTTTTTCAATTGTTTATTTTGTTTCAATTTCATTGATATCAGCTCTGATTTTAATTATTTTCTGTCTTCTGCTTTTGGTGTTGATTTTTTTCTTCTTTTTCTAGGACTTTGAGATGTAATGTAAGTCATTTATTTGTTGACTTTTTCTTCTTTTAAGGAATGAACTCCATGCAATGAACTTTCCTCTTAGTACTGCCTTCATAGTGTCTCAGAGATTTCCATATGATGTATCTGTGTTTTCTTTCACCTCTAAATTGTTTTAATTTCCTCCTCGATGTCTTCTGTAATCCATTGTTCATTCAGTAGCATATTATTTAGTCCAGGTGTTGGAGCAGAAATTTTATTTCTTATTTTATCATTGATTTATAATTTCATTCCATTATGATCTGATAGAATGAAGGGTAGTATCTCTACTTTTTTATATTTGCTAAGAGTTGCTTTGTGGCACAATATATGGTCGATTTTAGAGAAGGATCCATGTGCTGCTGAGAAGAAAGTGTATTCTCTCATTGAAGGACAAAATATTCTATATATGTCAGCTAAGTCTAAGATATTGATTGTATAATTAAGTTCTATAGTTTCTTTGTTCAGTTTTTGTTTGGAAGATCAATCTAGTGATGAAAGAGGTGTGTTAAAGTCACCCAAAATTATTGTGTTGTGGTCTATTTGACTCTTGAACTTGAGAAGAGTTTTTTTGATGAACATATGTTTGGGGGCATATATATGTATAATTTTTAAGTCTTGGTTTATGGTTCGCTTGAGCAGTATGTAGTATCCTTCTTTATCCTTTTTGATTGACTTTAGTTTGAAGTCTACTTCATTTGATATGAGGATGGAAACCCCTGCTTGCTTCCGCAGTCCATGTGAGTGGTATGATTTCTCCCAACCCATCACCTTCAGTCTGTGGATGTCTTTTTCTATGAGATGATTCTCTTGGAGGCAGCATATTGTTGGGTCTTTTTTTTTTTTTTTTTTGATCCAATCTGCTAGTCTTTGTCTTTTGATTGGTGAGTTTAGGCCATTAACATTTCAGGGTTATTTTTGAGTCATGATTTGTATTCCCAGCCATTTTTGTTTATTTTTGGTATTTAATGTGACTTGGTTTCTCCTCTGATTAGATTTTCCTTTAGTGTAATCCCTCCCTCTACTGATTTTTATCATTGTTTTTCATTTCCTTTTCTTGGAATATTTTACTGAGGATGTTCTGTAGTGCAGACTTTCTAGTTGTAAATTCTTTTAACTTTTGTTTATTATCGAAGGTTTTTCTTTCATCAAATCTAAAGCTTAGTTTTGCTGGAAATAAGATTCTTGATTGGCATCCATTTTCTTTCAGAGCTTGTTGTTCCACGATCTCCTGGCTTTGAGAGTCTCGGTTGAAAAAGCTACAAGATAGATTTGAGATACAAATTGGTCTCCCCTTGATCTGATTCCTCTTTCTTGTGGCTTTTAAGATTCTATCCTTATTCTGTATGCTAGGTATTTTCATTATAATGTGCCTTGGTGTGAATCTGTTGTAATTTTGTACATTTGGTGTCCTGTAAGCCTCTTCTTTTTGGTTTTCCAATTTGTTCTTCATGCTTGGGAAATTTTCTGATATTTTCTCATTGAAGAGATTGTGCATTCCTTTGGTTTGAAACTCTGTGCCTCCCTCTATCCCAATAACTTTTAGATTTGGACTTTTGATGTTGTCCTATAATTCTTGGATGTTCTGTTCACAGTTTCTGACTATCTTTACTGTGTGATCAATCTTATTTTCCAAATTGTATACTTTGTCTTCATTATCTGACTTTCTTTCTTCCAAGTGATCTAGTCTGTTGGTTATGCTTTCTATTGAGTTTTTTATTTGATTTATTGTATCCTTCATTTCAAGGATTTCTGTTTTTGTTTTTTTTTTTCAGAGTCTCTCTCTCTCTCTCTCGAAGTAATCTTTTGCTACCTGTATTTGGTCTCTCACCTCATTGTTGGAGTGATCAATTTTCTCCTGTATTTGCTCATTTAGGTCATTCTTTAATTCACAGGTCATTTTAATGATGGACCTTCTGAACTCCTCTCTGACATTCCATCAACTTCGCTGCCCATGGGTTCTGTTATTGTAGTGTCCTGGTCTGTTGGGGGCACTTTCCCCCCTTGTTTTTTCATGTGTTGTCTATGTGTCTTCCTTTCTTGCAGAGTGGATCTGAGATATTACAGTTCCTTCCCTCTATTCTTGTAGTACTGTGCAGATTGTCTCTACCTCACCCTGATGTGGGGCTTCCAGACCCTGCTGGTATCCCTCAGTGAATGCTACTGCATCCTGGGTCTGGGTCCTATATGCAAGTTGGAGTGGGTGGATCTGGGCGGCTGGGCTTGACCTCCCTCGGTAGTCTCTTGGTCAGAAGGGGCAGTCCTACGCCAGAGGCTAGGCTCTGGTGGGTGTCTGTCCCCGGGAGGGGGGTGGACCCGGGACTACTGAGAGCCTGGATCCCCAGTGGGCTGGTGTGGGTGGTCTGGGCTGGAACTCAGCTCCCGAAGTAGTCTGCTGGTCGGAAGGGGCGGTCCTGCACCAGAGGCTAGCTCTGGTGGGTGTCTGCCCCTCTGGTGGGGTGGGGTGGGGGGTGGATCAGCCTGCTGTGCGCCTGGGACCGGCACAGGCCGGTGTGGGTGGATCTGGACCGCAGGGCTTGACCTCCCATGGTAGTGTGCCTGTCCTTGGTGATTTTTGTTGGTGATGTATTTAGTTGCCCTTTGTAGAAAGGAAAATTTCTGCCACTATTGAGAGAAACCTGCTTTAGCCAAGCTCAGGCTCTCTCCTGAGAATCCGTGCACAGGACAAGTCTGTTGCTGCCCTCCTTCCTGGCTGCCAGGACCCTGGGAAAGGGCCACAGCCCGGGCCTGCTTGGGCGCTGTGCCTGCACAGACACCAGCAAGCCACAAATTGCTTTCAGAGCTTGAGGTCCTCTGGTTTTGAGCCTGGCAATGGGAGCTGGGGTTCCAGTGGGTTCCATCTGCTCCTTGTCTACAGCTCGTCACAAATGGAGGTGGCGGATGGCACGGGCCCCTGTGTGGGGTTGCCATGGCTCGGGAAGCCAGTGCTGCAGCCTCTCTAACTGGACTCTGCCTCCCCAGATGCTGAAGTTCCGGACAGTTCGAGGGGGCCTGAGGCTCCTGGGTATCCGCCGAACCTCCACTGCCCCTGCTGCCTCCCCAAATGTGCGGCGGCTGGAGTACAAGCCCATTAAGAAAGTCATGGTGGCCAACAGAGGTGAGCCCTGAGCTGCCAGCCTCAGCCTCCTCCTCACCCCGCCCCACCCTGGCCCCTCTGCTTGTCCCCGGCCCAGGAGTGTGATCTCCCTTCGTTGCCTCCAGGCGAGATCGCCATCCGCGTGTTCCGGGCCTGCACGGAGCTGGGCATCCGCACGGTGGCCGTCTACTCCGAGCAGGACACAGGCCAGATGCATCGGCAGAAGGCTGACGAAGCCTACCTCATTGGCCGCGGCCTGGCCCCCGTGCAGGCCTACCTGCACATCCCCGACATCATCAAGGTGGCCAAGGTGAGCAGCCGGCAGGCTGGGGGTGGGCACCAAGTGGGGGAGGCAGAGGTGGGAGGTCGGCCAAGGCCGTGCGGGCGGGAGACCTGCCTTCGTCACCCACCTGCAGGAGAACAACGTGGACGCAGTGCACCCGGGTTACGGCTTCCTCTCCGAGCGGGCGGACTTCGCCCAGGCCTGTCAGGATGCTGGGGTCCGGTTCATTGGGCCCAGCCCAGAGGTGGTCCGCAAGATGGGAGATAAGGTGGAGGCCCGGGCCATTGCCATCGCCGCAGGTGACAGACAGTCAGCTCCTCACAAGGGGCTGGCAGGGAGGGTGGCAGGAGCATGTGTTTCCCTGGTGATGGGCCCGGATTCCAGCTCTTCAGAGAGGCCACTCACACCTGTCCCCCAACAGGTGTCCCTGTGGTCCCAGGCACTGACGCCCCCATCACGTCCCTGCATGAGGCCCATGAGTTCTCCAACACCTACGGCTTCCCCATCATCTTCAAGGCTGCCTATGGGGGCGGAGGCCGTGGCATGAGGGTCGTGCACAGCTACGAGGTGAGTGAGGCTGGAGGCAGGGAGCGGGCAGCAGGTGGCCTCATCTCTGGGAGTGGGCGGAAGGTGACATGTTGTGGGGGAGCTCGATGCAGGTGACATGGAGGGGCCTGGGGAAAGCCAACGCCTGCTGGCCCGCCCGCCCCCCAGGAGCTGGAGGAGAATTACACCCGGGCCTACTCCGAGGCCCTGGCAGCCTTTGGGAACGGAGCGCTGTTTGTGGAGAAGTTCATCGAGAAGCCACGCCACATTGAGGTGCAGATCTTGGGTGAGTGGAGAGGGCGGGAGCCCAGAAGCCAGCCTCTTCCTGGTTGGCGGTGGCCAGCCTTTTGGACAGGTCCCTGTCTGTGGTTCGCTCCGGGAGGCCTGCAGGGACCCAGCTCAGCAGAGGGGCTCTTGGGGCTGGCTCCCCGCCGCCGAGGGCCCTCGCCAGCCACTGCCCTGCGGGGCGCTGGGAGAGCCAGGGGGTGTCCGGTTTCAGAAAGGCTGAGCCGGTGTCCTGCCCCCAGGGGACCAGTATGGGAACGTCCTGCACCTGTATGAGCGAGACTGCTCCATCCAGCGGCGGCACCAGAAGGTGGTGGAGATCGCCCCTGCTGCCCACCTGGACCCCCAGCTCCGGTCGCGGCTCACCAGCGACTCCGTCAAACTTGCCAAGCAGGTGAGGCCTCGGGGCGCTGCAGGTCCCCTGTGCGCAGCCTGCAGGTCTGTACTGGCCCTGAGCCTGGGCCTGTAGCTGTGTGGCGGGGGTCCTGTCCTCCCGTGTTCCTGGGCCACAGCCCCAGGTGTGTTCACTGTCCCAGGTTCCAGCCACCTCAAACTCCTAGGCAGCCCGGGCCCAGACAGCATCGCTGTCACCTTCCCCAAAATGGAGGCAGAGCCTCACTGTGCTGCGAGGCTGCAGCCACAGCAATCAGGAGGCCGCAGCTAGGTCAGCTGGGCAGAGTGCCGGGATCAGTGGCCTTGGGGAGGAGTCACCTCAACTGTGCCCTGGTTGATGGGTTTATGCTACTGACCCCAGCAGGCTGGGGCCTGTGGAGTCTGCTGTGGTCCTAGCAGGCCCAGTCTGAGGCAGGAGCATCATCTGGGTGCCTCTCGACTGATATCTCTTGAGATGGTGACCAGGCTGGTGACGCTGGGAAGTGGGTTCTGGGAAGCCCAGGTCTCCAGGTGTGAAGGGACAGGAGTAGAGCCACCAGCCGAGGTGGCAGCCAGTGAGAGCAAGGGCGCCCTGTCTGGGGCGGGCAGGGCTCTGCTGACCTGTACCATGCCAGCTCTGGAGCCCGGCGGAGTCCTCAGGGGACTGTCCTGGAGCCTGGATGGCCATCTGTCTCTCGGACAGGGTCCCTGCAGGTTGTTGTATTTTTGGGCGAGCCAGAGGGCGGGCCCCCGCCCCACGCCACTCCAGGGCACACCCTCCCCCTGCCTGTCCACCCAGCCACCCAACTGCCGCCCCACAGGTGGGCTACGAGAACGCGGGCACCGTGGAGTTCCTCGTGGACAGACACGGCAAGCACTACTTCATCGAGGTCAACTCCCGCCTGCAGGTGGAGCACACCGTCACCGAGGAGATCACCGAGTGAGCTGGGGACAGGGCGCGGAGCAGGGAGGGACTCTGGCTTTCCACTTTGGTGGTCAGCAGCGGGGGACCCAGGGACTTGAGTTCTTATAAAAGGCTCAGGCTGTGGGCTGGGCTCGGCACAGCGGAAGTGCGCCTGCCTGGCGTGTGTGAGCACTGAGTTCCGTTCTCAGCACCACACAGGAACAAATAAAATGAAGGTCCATCATCAACTGAAAAGTACTTTAAAAAGGCATTACATTGTGATTGCAAAAATTAATACAAAGGAGCAAATCAAGTGAGTCAGAGGCCCTCCCCTCAAAATCAGGATGCTCGAGGCCAGGGGCCGAGCTGGACACCTCATGGAACCCTCGTGGCTGCCTTGTGAGGAGGGAGCCCAAGGCCCCGTCTTTCAGCCGAGGAAGCCGAGGCTCGAGGAGGTTGAGATTCTGGCCTGTGGTGGCTGAGTCCTGGTGTCCTGGGTGGTGAGGGTGTGTTTGGCGCCTGTGGGCAGGGTGTGCCTGTAGCTTTTTGCCCAGATCTGTGTTGTGTCCCTGGGGAGGCGAGATCTGTTTTTATCAGGATCAGCTGATCAGGAAAAGCCGCCTGGTGCCTCCTGGCTCTCTGGGTAGTCTGGCTCTGCTGTCCCACAGCTTGGATTATTTGCTGTTCTATAAACAACAGTTAAAATGGCTGTTTCGAGATGTTTCGTTGTTTCGAGATGCGTGTGATGAGCCACTAAGTCCTAAACCTTGGCTTTGGGCCAGTCCACCTCACCTTGGAACATTTCTGACTTCAGTTCCTTCCCCAGCCCCTGCTGCACCTGAGAAAGGAGTACCTTTGCCCAGAGAGGCCCCCAGATTCCTGGGAGGCCAGAGTTAGAGGCAAGGTCGGTGCTCCAGCTGTGTCCTGGCCCCGGGTCTTCCTCATCCTGCTGCCGAGAGCTGTCATCCTGAGCTCTGTCAAGGATGAAAGGCTTTGTTTACTATGTAGCAAGGGTTCTGTGCCAGACAGACTGAGCTGAGGCTCCCCTGGTCCTGTGTGGAGCTTGGGTTAGTGGCAGCCTCTCTGACCCCTGATCTCCTCCTCCAATGGGAATGTGGCTCCAGCATGGGATGAGCACGCGCTGCTCCCCCTTGGCTGTTGAAGCTCATGGCGATCTCTGTCACTGCTCCAGTGGTGCAGCAGGCAACTCCCCACACAGCAAAGTCGGCCAGCGTAGTTTCCAGGCTGTCCTTACCACAAGCCTCAGTGACAATCAATTTAAAACCTGGAGTTTTTCAACAGCTGTTCCACTTGGATTTGCTACTGTCCTTGGGAGCATGTACCAGTCAGCTTCAGCTCCTAAAGCCGTGCAATGCAGAGAGCTTTGCACCCCAAAATCTTCTGGAGGGGCCTTGGGCACAAGCCCAGTGGGGGTGCCGGCCTGGGAACACAGTGTCCACCCATCAGGCCTCAACTGCCCTGGTTCCCATTTTGCAGACTGTCCCCCACTCACCCACCCAAAGTAGCACCTATGGCTCCAGGAATGGGGCCTCCTGAGGCTTCTGATCTGAGCGTCAAGGGCAGGAAGGTGGAGCGCAGGACGGGGAGAGGGGGACCCTGTGTTCCCGAGGCCCCTCTGGCTGCCACTCTAGCTGAGACTGCAGTCATGGCGCCGAGCTGTGAGGCCAGGGGCTGGAGCAGCTGCCCGCTCAGACAGGAAGAGTGTGTGGGCCTCGCCTCTTGCCCCAGCCCCGCCCTGCCTCATGCTCCCCTCCTCTCTTGGTGTTCCCCACCGGCAGTGTGGACCTGGTCCACGCCCAGATCCACGTGGCCGAGGGCAGGAGCCTGCCTGACCTGGGCCTGCGGCAGGAGAACATCCGCATCAATGGCTGTGCCATCCAGTGCCGGGTCACAACTGAGGACCCTGCGCGCAGCTTCCAGCCCGACACTGGCCGCATCGAGGTAGGTGACATTTCCGGAGCGGGTGCCAGTTTCAGCCTATTGAAGATTCTCACTGCCTCTCAGGTGCCCGGGGCCTGGCAGTTCAGGAGAATCCCCCTCGGCTGGCCTGACCCCGGCCTAGAGCACGTGGGAGCCAGCGCTGTCCGGGAGGAAGGGGGCATGCTGGGAAGGAGCCCCCCTGTACACGGGCCAGGAGAAGGCAGAGTCCAAAGCTCCACTGTGACAGAGCCACTGGCCTCTGTCCTGCCTTCACGCTGGGGCCGGGCAGTGGCTGGCAGGGCAGAACCCCAATAGGAATGGGAACAAATGACTGGGAATCCCATGGGGGTGAGCCAAGCTAAGGGCCTCCCAGAGGGATGGAGGGAAGTCAGCAGATGGAGGTGGCAGTGAGGGACGGGAGGCAGAGTCCGGGGCCGTGGTTCCTGGATCTTCTCACAGAGCTGAAGCCCAGCCAGTGGGTCCCCGAGAGCCATTTCCCTCCCTCCCTCCCCCCGAGGGTCTGGCCTGACCTGCTCCTGGCCCACTGTGTCCTGTGGACTGACCTGCTGTCAGCTCCTCCCCATTTATTGGCCCGGCCCTGGGGACAGCATCTGCTCTGGAGTCTGGGGCCTGTGGCCTGGGCTGGGTGGGGCTGGCAGGGACAAGCCAGAGGCTGGGCTTTAGGTCAGGTGGTGGCGGAGGCTGGGAGAGGCTGTTGCAGTGTGGTCCTGAGAGCACAGATCTGTGGCCTCCCGGGAACTGCCTGCCTGCTCCCCGGGAGCCCCAGGCCTCCTTTGTCCTCAGCTGCAGGGGGGCAGCCCAGGGACCCACCTCCAGCCACCTCCCTCTACCTTACAGCTGGGCCAGCTGCTCCCCTCGCTCACCGCAGGGTATTTTTAGCTGGTGGTTCCTGCGCTCAGCTGTGTCCACCCTGAATATTTTATTAAGTTCCTTTCCGTGGAGCACAAGCCGGTGCCCCTCTGGTGCTGTGGTGTCCCCAGCCCGCCCCCAGCCTCCCAGCCTTCCCTCACAGGAACCCAGGGCCTGTCCTCCTGTGTGCACATGTCAGCCAGCCCCAGCCCCCTAGCCTGACCTGGCCCCTCGCCCTCCACCGTGTCCTTCCTCTTCCTGACCCATCCTGCTCTCTTCTGCGGAGGCTGGGCCCTGGGGGCTGGCTGTGCCTGTCTTGCTCTGTTGGACGTGTTTCCTTGGTGTCTCTGTCCCCTCGTTGCTTCCTCTCTGCCGCTCTTCCTCCTGTCCTCCCCTCCAGGAAGAAAGGGACTGTGTGATGGTCTCCCTGTCACCCTGAGGGCCCAAACAAAGCCTGCGCCCCGCCTCTCCTCTCATTGCCCCACAGCGGCCCTGTCACTGGTCCGGTGTCCAGGCCTTTCCCTTTCTGTCCGGGTGCCCACGCAGGCAGGGACTTGCTGCTCTTGCTGGTGGTGGACGCTCCATACCTGTTCCTGGCATGAACGTGGACACATGAGGGGATCCAGAAGGCGGGAGGGTTGGTCAGACAGGCGTTGGGAGGTGGGTGGGATCTGGCCCCTCTGGCTGGGCTGTGCACACAGTCCTGCGGTACGTCCTTCGTCCCCTCCCAGCTCCTCTGAGGCAGCAGTGACTGTGGGACTCGGAGAAGGGGTGAGTCCCAGGTTTGCAAAACTGAGAGGTCAGAGCTGTGGTTTCCCTGCAGCGCCCTCGACCTCAGCTCTGGGTGCCCCGCATGCAGGGAGCCGCCGCTGACCTCTGTCCCCCCCCCCGCCACAGGTGTTCCGCAGTGGAGAGGGCATGGGCATCCGCCTGGACAATGCCTCTGCCTTCCAAGGGGCTGTCATCTCACCCCACTATGATTCCCTGCTGGTCAAAGTCATCGCCCACGGCAAAGACCACCCCACGGCCGCCACTAAGATGAGCAGAGCCTTGGCCGAGTTCCGCGTTCGAGGTGTGAAGGTGAGAGCCTATAGCTCCTTCCCGTCTTGTGCCTGTCCCTCCAAGGGTCCTATGGTCACTTGTGTCCTTGCTTGGGGTGGGCACAGAACGGCCTGCCTTTCCCTGGCCTTTGCTTTGTGGAGGCCTGCAGCCCCCTCGGCCCTGGTGACAGGTGACCCTCCTGGCTGCGCTCAGACCCTCGGGCCCTTTTGGTGCAGGCGCGAGGGCCCCCCTCGGGTGGCTCCTTCTGGCTGCTCCACACGCCTCTTGCTCTCAGGCCAGAGTCCCCTGCAGGGCGGCCGTGGAAGTCCCCACCCCACAGGTTTGGGTGGAGGCCCGGAAGCCTGTGTTTTGAACAAGAAAAGGAGCTCCTGGGCGAGGGCCCAGCCCTGTGTGAGGAGGGGAGGCCTCCGCCATCCCCCAGCCCTCTGCATTTCAGCCGAGTCTGCAGAATGGTGGGTGCTTCAGGGACAGCCAAGGAGTATGGCTGCAGCGGGGCTGGTGGCCAGGCAGGGGCACGTGACCTGTTTCTGACCAGGGTGGTTGTCTGCCAGCGAGGATCCAAAATGCCTTCCCTCCTTGTTGGGCTGTTTGCTACTAGTGTCTAGAGCTAGGGATGAATTCACAGCCAAGAAGCAGTCTTGTCCTTGAAGCCAGCACCTACCCACGTGTCTGTGGGTGCTGCCATCAGCATGGGGACAGGGCTGGGCATTCAGCCCCTGTGGGAATCCCTTTCTTCTCTTTGGGGGTTCCCAGGATGGTCTGCAGCCACAGACTGTGGCTGGGCTGGCTCCTGAGGGCTCCTGCGGGGCCAGCTGCTGTCCCCTGGGTCACTCCTCCGACCTCTCCGCAAGACCCCATGGCATGTCCTGGCGGTAGCCCCAGGGGGCAGAGACTTTTGGAAAATGGCAGGGGCCTGCCGGCTGGGCTGGCCACCTTGGCCACCTGAGGGAAGTGTTGGCAGACGCCGGGGGTCGCTCCCTTCCACAGGGCTGCATCAGGGCTCCCGTCCCACACTCAGGGCAGCGTGTTCCCGGTAGTTTGGGCTGGGCTTTCTCTGCTGACCCTGTTGGGAGGGGCCGTGAGTCCCTGCCTCCTGTGACCGCGGTGGGAGTGAGGGCCGGGCTCTCCCTGTGCTGCTGCTGCTGCTGTTGTGGCTGGCCGTGGTTGGTCCCCATTCCTCTGACCCCTTGTCCTCAGCCCCCAGGTCCCCTGGGCCAAGGACTCTACTCTGTCCTATACCCCCAAGTACCAGGAACCTCCTCTCCTCACTGGAGGAGGGTGGAGAAAGGGACTCTGGGGACCATGGCCATGGGGTGGCAGCAAGGTAAGGGGTTCTGGTTCCTGGGGTGCCTGTGTTTTCCCAGATCCGCACTAGCCCAGGCCATTGGTCCCTGCCTCATTCTGGGCCTTCAGGAGCCTGGCTTTCTGGCCTTAAGCTTTTGTCTCCCCTGCCCTCCCTCCTTGCCCCCCACTTTGCTGAGGACCTCATTTCCATTTAACCCATCAAGTCCCAGTGCCCCATACATAGAACACCTCGAAACATTTAAATTGAGCAAGAAAGTGATCATAAACGGCACGTTTGTTGACTAATGTTTGGATAGTACACGGCAAACGGCATGCTGGGGCGTAATGGGTTAAACCATCCTTGGCCGCCTCAGGCCCGTGTCCTGGGCCTGGGAGGACGATACCCACCAGCTTGGCCTGGAATACCGGTCTCCTTGGCTGTCATCAGGAGCACCGGTGTGCCCGTGCAGCCCCTGTGCTGTGCCTGGCACCAGCCAGGCCCTGCCATGGCCCCGGGGCCGCCAGCTGCATCCTCCTGGAGCACCAGCAGGCTCTCGCACGCTCGCTAGGAAGGGCTCCGCCCAGGACACGGAGGCCAGTCAGTGCTGCCAGAGCTTTGCCGAGCAGCAGCCAACAGGGCCCGTGGGACCCCCGGCAAAGGAAGCAGAAAGGGGTTCTGGGGTGAGCCCCATCCAGCACATCCCCACCTCCACCCCCACAGGCAGGCAGCTCGGGGCCATCTCTCCAGGAACGTTGAGGGCACAGCCATGGGGACCTCAGAGGAGTGGCTGGGGGTGCCATCTCGTTGGTGCCTGAGGGATGACAGGACCTTTTGGAGGTCTCTGGGTGATGGCTGCCAGTGGGACTCCCAGTCTTGAGGGTGGCACTTCATAAGTCCAGAAGGTGCCCAGGAGAAGGCAGGCATGGCTGTCCCCAACAGGACTATGGGGGTATTTCACCGAGTTGTGCTCAGGAGAATGTTACCATTCTTTTGGTTCTTTTGCCCAGAAGGGCTATGCCCTCCACCCACCCTCGGGCTGCTACCCACAGTCCCGCTGCCACTCCCAGGCTTCCAGCACTGCTGGGACAGTGCCAGTGCTCGGGCTTCACGCACCAGGGATTGTCCTACACACGCCTGCTGGGAAGGGTACCCTCCGTACTGACAGACAAGCTGCTCGCCCGAGCCTCCAGCTCCCGTAGGCCAGGCCAGGCCCGGTCAGAAGAAACCAGAGCCCGGCACTGGACTGCCCCAGAGGACAAATGGGCAGTGGAGGCTCAGGCTGCAGGGTCAGCTCCGCCCGGTCTGTGCCTCTACCAGCCCCTCATCCCCTCCCTTCCACCTTCCCTCAGAATGGGGCCAGAGACCAGCACTGAGGTGTCCCCAACAATTTTATTATAAATAGAAACAAGACGCCCACTTGGTGGCTGCAACCCCTGCCTTGGTGGCTCTGAGCACCTGTCAGAGGGATCTGTCCCTTTACCCCAGTCTGGAGGTCAGAACCAAGGGAAGGGCTCCTGTCCCTCCAAGTACATGGGAAGCCTGAGGTACCAAGGATAAAAACCAGGGAGAGGCCCCTGGCAGTGCTGCTCACTGGGCCAGGTGGCCACTGCCCTGGGCCCCTGGCCTCGCTGCTCATTCCTCAGGGCACAAGCCGCCCTCCTGTCACACCACACTCTCCTCCAGCCGCTCTGCACTGCCTCCCGCACCCCGGCACCCAGCCCCAAGCAGCCCCCCATGTACAGAGTGGCTCCTCCGGGCCCAGGCCCCTCCCAGGCGCCTGGCATACCCGTAGCACCCGCCTGTATCTCCCAGGTCCAGGGAGCAGCTGCGCTGGGGGCGGGGTGGGGGGCTCCTCGGTGGGTGGCTCTTGGGGGTAGGGCTGGGACCTCCATTGGTCTGGGACTGGACGTGGCTGAGCTTGAGGGGGAGGCGGCCGTTCCCAGCTCCCCGGCCCCGAACCAGCAAGGCCACAGTGAAGACCAGTAAGGCAGCCACCAGAACCCCCCCCACAGCCACAGTCAGGGTCCCGCCCAGCACATGGGCCTGCAGGGCATGGCACAAGGGCGTGGCTGGCAGTGTGGAGAAGTGGGCACAGCCCAGTAGCCTGGTGGCCGTGAGGTCAGAGGGTCCAGTGGCAGGTGACAGGGCCAGCAGGCAGAGGTCGTAGTCAGCACCCGGCACCAGGTGCTTTAGCAGGAAGTGCTGGCTGGATGCTGGGACGATCCTGCAAGACAGACAGGTGGTCAGAGCCCCAGGGTCAGGCGCAGCCCAGCTCCCGCCTCGCACAGCCAGGGCCTCGCGGCTCCTAAAGCCCTCACTCCCTGCCCAGCTCTGGAGAGCTCCCCGGGACCTGAGCCACAGGGGCCTTCTGTGTTCCCTCAAGATGGCAAAGAAACAAGGACGGGCACGTGCAGGACAAGAGGCGGTGCCAAGGGACAGACTGGTGTGTGACTGGACTGACTTAGGTCACAAGCAAGCAGAGGAGGATGGGTGTGGGGGGGATACTAGCAGGAACACCCAGCCACGGCCAAGCCACAAACCAGGCCACCAGCAGCGTACAGCTGTCACGTAAGCATCCATACCTGAGCCCCGCACCCTCAGATGCTGGGCTCCTGGGGGCTCAGAAGCCAAGGGCACATTGGCGGGAGGGCCGGGCGGGGGCCAAGCAGGGGCTGAGGACACGGGCAGGGTGCGTCCTCACCGATAGATGAGGGTCTCGTCTTCGCTGCTGTTGTACTGGATTTGGAACATCCACACAGGGTCAGCTGGCCGCCCAGGGCCCCAGCTCACCAGCCCTGAGGTGGCAGTCACTTCTGTCACTTGCACAGCTGGCTCAGACTCCAGAGTCCCCTCGCCCTCAGCAGCAGTTCGAGCAGAGGCAGCAATGTCTGAGGGCCCTGGGCGGCCCCCCTCGGCACTGGCGTTCCCGCCATGGGGCAAGGCCAGCACCCGGAGCTCTACTCGGGCAGTGGCCTCACCAGCAGGGTTGGTGGCGATACAAGTGTAGCCTCCTGCGTCCCCAGCGCCTGTCACCCCAATCTCCAGGGTTCCGTTGGGGAAGGCCCAGGCTCGGGAGGAGTTGCCAACCAGCCGGTCGTCGGGGCCAACCCAGTGCATGGTGGGTGCAGGGTCACCAAGGGCCCGGCACCTCAGCGTGGCCCGCTGTCCCTCCAGCACCCAGAGGCGCTGCGTGTGGCGGGCAATGAGGGGCGGCTCACACGAGAACTCGCCCTCAGGCACTGCCCAGAAGTATCGGCCAGCCAGGCCGGGTGGGGAGGCACAGGTCTCCAGGTCATCCGGCCGCGCCAGCCGCCGCAGCCACAGCAGCTCGCAGTTGCAGTGCAGCGGGTTCCCGCTGAAGCTCAGCACCAGCGGAGCCGGCGAGGCCTCCGCGTCGCGCCCCCTGGAGAAGAGCGGGTCGGGCGCCAACGTGGCCAGGCGGTTGGAGGTGAGGTCGAGGCGGGAGAGCTGACCAAGCTGTGCAAAGGCGCCCGGGGGCAGCGCGTCGATGAGGTTGTGGTCCAGGTTGAGAGTGTGCAGGGCCGGCATGGCGCCGATGCCGGCCCAGGGCACCTGTCGGAGGTTGTTGTAGGACAGGTCCAGGTCCTCCAGGCTGTCCAGGAAGTCATCGAAGGCCCCTGGCGCGATGCGGCCCAGCTGGTTGCCACTGAGGATGAGGTGCTGCAGGTTGACAGGCCCCCGCAGGCTGCCGCTGCCCAACTCCACCAGCCTGTTGCCGTCCAGGTGTAGGGATCGCAGGCTCTCCAGGTCCCCAAAGGCGCGGGCTCCAATGCGGGTGATGGCATTCCGAGACAGCGTCAGGTCCACCAGCCCAGTCATGTTGCGAAAGTCAGGTGGTCCCAGGGCCTGGATGAAGTTGTCAGCTAGCCGCAGCTCCACTGTGCGCCGGTCCACGTTGGGTGGCACAAACAGCAGGCCTCGATGGGCACAAAGGGTACTGAGGGACTCGGATAGGTTCTGGCAGACGCAGGGTAGCGGACAGGCAGCCGCTCCACTGGCCAGCAGCAGCAGCAGTAGTGGTGGGGCCATGGTGAGCGCCCTGTAGGGAAGGGCCGCAGCCCAGGCACAGGTGGGGCTGGTGCAAGTGCCCACTTGTGCCCAGGGCACAGTCCCAAGAGCCAGCTTCCAGAGTCTGGCCTGGGAAGATTGGGTTAGAAGCTCAAGGGGGTCCCCAGGGATGAAGGAAGGCTGGGGCTGCAGGGCCAGGCCCCCCGGAGTAAAGGTCACATTTCCCAAGCAGTTAGGGGGAGTCCTGGCGCTGGGGACAAGGTGAGGCATGAGGCAGGAAGCGGCGGTGGGCCGAGAGCAGGGAGGGTCCCGGAACTTCCTTTTCCTGGCGTCCCCTGGAATCGCCAGCCCCTTCCTCCCTCCGCGCCATCCCTCTCCGCGCCAGGAAAGGCTCCCAATTGATCCCTGGCTTGGCCCGTGGTCCCTCCCCGGCCCGGCCCAGCGGTGCGTCCCGCGGCCCCCTCACCTGGTGTTAGTCGCTTAGGGGGCGCGGGCCGGCATCCCCACGGGTCCAGCCGGCCCTGGCCGTC